ATTCCCCGGTTGGACAGAGCTCGCGAAACGAGCCACCCGCTAAGGCGAGTAAAGGCGCAGACGGTCCACGACCTGTAAGAACTCTAAACAACTTTGGGCGAGGTCAGATAGTGCAAGAGCCCCAGAGGAGTGCCCAGCGTGGAGGGTCAGGTACGGCCACTAAGCCAACCTGTGGTTTCTGTGGGAGCAATCACACCGATGAAAATTGCTGGAAAAATTGACGGAGTGTCGGCAGGAGGTCACGCATGGCAAACGATCTGGCTTTGGAGCCACCTGTATCCTTATTATGTGATGTTACATTTCTGCTTTTGCTTTACTCTAACTGTGTAACTGTTGTTACCTGAAATTTACGCTTTCGCCCCTGTTTACTTACTAGGCATATAGCTTACCCCTTTCCTTTTGTTTTCCTTAGCAGGGGCCGACGCAGGGACTTTTGGCACATACACTAGTATAGTTAGGTTTGATTGTAATAGTCGGACAGTTAGTATGTTTGTTTTTGTTTTGGTGGTTTGTATAAGGACCCTCCTTAGGGTCTATCTTCTGCTGATTGTAGTTATAGTGTATTAGAGTGGTTTGGCTCGATATTTTTGAGGATGTAAATAGAACTTTTGGCGGTTGTATAAATTATGAATAGTTCTCTTGTGGTTTAATATAGTTTTATTAGCTTTGTGTTTCGAGTCCTGGCGCGAGCTAGGCAGGCGGCCCGCCGATACCCTTGGGTTCGCCCTTAGGAGAAGTGGGATCGTCACAATTTTCCTGAATTTATATATTACATACTTGTCGTGTATTTCTTTTTCTTGTCATTTTGCAGACTTGAAATTTTAATCGCGTACAAATTTTTGGCACGTCCGGTGGGACCATCTCTACCTTCCATCTCTTCTCCTCGAATATTCAACCACGTATATCACCAATGGCACTAAAGAGCAACAAAATCATGATTGCACGTTCCAAGGCTACTGATGCTAAGCCTGTTCGGGAAGCTGCACATGGTGCCACCAATACCCGCGTTGTTGGGCCTGTGACAAGGAGTATGACGAGAGCCTCCGCCCAAAGTAGCATGGAAGCTCTATCGGCGCCAACTCCCGTCTTCGGTTCGACATCACCAATGAGCTATTCCTCCACGATGGGGATCCAAGACGTTCCTGCCTCGATTGAGAAGGCTCTTGCCATGCTCGAATTTGGATTCGAATCCAACTTTTCTAAGCATGACGATGATTCATCAAGCACTGGATCAGCCTCTTCACATGAAACTCTTCATTCAAGATTTTGTATTGAAGATTCTGCTTCTTCTTCTGCTGCAATGCTTGCCATCATGACAAATACTTTGAGTCTCGAAGAACAAGTTTCGAACATGTCCAAGATGATGGAAACTATGATGAAACACATCAAGGACGAAGATGCTCTCTGTGAGGACCCGTAAAATTTTCCTTAATTTATACCCTTTAATTCTGTTCCTTTTCATGCATTTTTCTTATTTTATTTTACTACCTTAATTTTCTAGACATTTTATAAGTGAATATAGTTTTTTTAAAACATTTTTCTTGCATAAGTTAGTTCGGGTCAATTTTGAAGTGTATTATTGACGTGGGACCCGCTAGTGCGGTAAATGCGATATATTTTTGACAACTTGTTGGGGTTTTGTATTAAGTGATATTATTTTAAAAGGTGCTAGGAGACAATTAGAGGTTAGCTAGTTAATTAAGTCTTGGAAGACAAAAGAAATGAGATAAGCTTGAGAGCCACATGTTGCATTTTCATTGGGTGGTAAACATTTGACTAGTCTTCACCTTTACTAAAACAATTTTGACCAAAAACCATCTTCATTTTTAAGCTTCTTGGCTGGGCAACTAGAGAGAAAAGAAGAGAGAAAGCTTCTTCAATTTTCCTACCTTTCTTGCTTGAATCTTGCAAACCTACCGATTAAATTCCAAATTCCTCCACAAAAGTGAGTCGATAAGCTAGTTTAAGGCCTTTAGTGGAGCCATTTGTGAAGAACAAGCTCTAGCCATCTTGTTTCTTGGAGTTGCAAAGGTGAGTTGTCTAGATAACTTCCCTTTCATGACAATAATGATCAATTAAGGGTTTTAGTGGTGAAGCATGTCATTTTGTGGGTTATTTCATAAGTTATGGTTGAGTTGTCTAATTTTTCTATTAATTGAGAATTTTTCTGTTTTATATAGTATTTTATTGTTTACTCATGGTATGATAGCCTATTATGGTGTAAAATGAAGTTTGTATATGTTAGTTGAAGTTGGTTGCAGAAAATTTCTGGTTTGATACGGAATTCCAGGTTTAGGGTTTATATTTGCCCTGTTCTGACCGGATTTATTCGAGCATGTTAGAGGCCGAATCAGGCTTAGGTTAAAACATGAAAGTTGTAGCAAATGGTGTTAAATAGCTGGTTGAAAATTTCAGCTTGATCTGAGTACTATAGCATGTGAAATAACCGAAATACCCTTGACTATCCATGAACCCTGTTCCGCGCCCAGATTTCTATTTTCGTGAAAATTTTCATTTTTGACCATAAAAATGCAAGATTTGGCTTTGGAGGTCTGCATAAGAAATGTAGCTTTATGTCTTGATTTTGAAACGCCATAAGATTCGTTTCAATCCGATAAGGGTAGATTCAGTTATGGATATTGTGCCGAAAGGTGTTAAACGGAACTTTATACGTTAACTGTGATCGTTGTGGAAAATTTATGCTTGAGGGAATGAATTCCGGTTTCTAGGGTTTAATTGGGGGTTTTCTAATGGTGGCTCTTAAGCTTCTAATTAGCTTTGATTGAGGGATATTGTGGCCTAATTGGATATATTTTATTGCTTATTAATCGTATGTGTAATTGGTAATATATTGTAGGTTGGAAATGAAGCATTTATGGGGAAATGCTGTCCAAACTTTAAGAATGTATGATTGCTTGGAGTTTGTGATTTAGGGCTTGGACTCGGACAAGGTAATGATATATGATGGATGGTTTCTGACCCGTGGAGGTGAGTGACCCTAAACTGTTTCCAAAGTACTTTTGAAATGTTTCTTGCATTATTTACTCGACTGCATATCATGTGTGCGCGCATGTGAGTTCATGACATGATTTGGCTTAATTGAGTTCTTGGGGAGTCTTGTGCTGAACACCAACGTCTCCACTCCTGTTTATTGTTCATGACATGATCTGGAGCACCAACATTGCTCTCCCTTATTGTTTAACGTTAAGTAATCTATTTGAGCGTTGGGTGTTTAAGTGCAATGATTTCACTGGCTCATGAGAGCAATAAACGTACATTTGATTACTGATTCATGACATCATTGAAATGAATGATTGTGACATATATTTGATTATTGATTTTATTGGTTACTCACTGAGCTTTTAGCTCACCCCAAAACTATTTTATTCCCCTCCACAGGGCTCGTGGCGAAGGAAAGGCTTGTAGTACTTATTCACGTGGCTGGATGGCTTATATCTTGTACAGTTTAGATTTGGAATTGAAGAGGATGTTTGTGTAGTTTGAATTTTGAACTTCCTCCTGTATAATAGTTGGTATTAAGGATCGCATGGATGTATGAAGCGGAAACTAATTCTAAGCGTGGATGCTTCGCTTATGATATGTAAATTTGTGGAACATCTAATATATATTTGAGACATATTGTAATTTATTTGAGAACTGTAGTGAACGACTGAGTCCGGCGAGAGTTGGGCAGGCGGTCCGCCGAACCCTTTGGTTCGCCTTAGGGTGAGGTGGGGCTGTCACACTCTCATTGCTCAACTGCTCATCCAGAAAGATCACGCTCCTGAAGGAAGCCATGCAAATCCTAAGAAGCACCATGAGCGTGAAATTTCCTCATCTAAAGGTAAGGACAAGGTGAAGGAAGTATATGTGACAGCCAATGGAACTATCCCCGTGGAACAACTGAAGGAACTTGTTGAAGGCGTGATCAAAGATAAAAAGGAGGGTGATTCAAAGTTAAGCTTTACCTACTACAAGCCTTACACTGCTAGAATTGACAACCTAGCAATGCCTGCGGGATATCAACCGCCTAAATTTCAACAGTTCGACGGGAAAGGTAGTCCAAAACAACATGTGGCCTATTTTGTCGAAACCTGCAATAACGCTGGAACCTATGGTAACCTGCTAGTCAAACAGTTCATCCGATCCTTGAAGGGCAACGCATTTGACTGGTACACTGATCTCATTCCGAAGTCCATCGACAGTTGGGAACAACTGGAACAAGAGTTCTTGAATCGCTTCTACAGCACTAGAAGAACTATTAGTATGCTGGAGTTGACTAACACTCGTCAATGGAAGAATGAACCTGTGGTCAACTACATTGATAGGTGGAGAAGTCTGAGTCTCAACTGCAAGGATAGACTGTCTAAACCCTCTGCCATAGAAATGTGCATCCGAGGAATGCATTGGAGCCTGAGCTACATTCTACAGGGTATACGTCCAAATACATTTGAAGAATTAGCTACTTGTGCTCATGATATGGAGTTAAGCATCACGACCAATGCAACTGATGGGCTTCCTATTCAAGTTCCGCGAGTACAGCCGCCTCGTCAAAGCAATGAAAGGCAAGAAAATAAAAAGGGGGGCGGCAAGCCTCCTTCAAGATTCAGTAATAAGGAGTCCATAGCAATAAACATAGCTCCCATGAAAATTGCTACCAAGGTGAGTCGAAAGGTCACCGAAAAGGTAGACTCCCCTCAAAATAGGTCGATAAGAAGACCTACTCTAAAAGAAATGCAAGAAAAAGAATACCCTTTTCTTGAATCTGATTTACAAGGAATGTTCGATGATCTTTTTAAGGAGAAGCTCCTTGAACTTCCTGACATGAAACGCCCAGAGGAAGCCGGTCAAGTCAATGATCCAAATTATTGTTGTTATCATCGTTTGATTGCCACCCTCTCACTAAATGCTTTGTCTTTAAAGACAAAATTATGGAATTGGCCCGTCAAGGGAAAATCCTTCTCGAGGAAGATAAAGCATCGGCAAACCAAACAACAATAATGTTTGGGTCTGTGTGTTGTCCGATAGAAGTTTTATCCACACCAAGTAATGCTTTGTCTAAGGAGCTTGAAAAATCCTCAATTGAAGATGTTATTGAAGATGACAACAAAGGATGGACTTTAGTTACTCGAAAGAGGACTTGCAAGCCAAAAATAAAGAAGTGCATCTTTTCAAAAAGCATTCGTTCGACAAAGCCTAAAGTGACAATGAAACAACGAAATGCAACAAAACAGCAAAAGGGAGTGGCCACGAAGCCAATTCTTTCAGATTTTCACCTTCTTCAAGAGATTCGACAGCCCGTGATACTGAGGAAATTTATACCCAAGGGGTATTTAAGTGATGATGCTAATAATTCCACTTCTTGTAATGTCGTTAAGGCTGAAAATCCTCAAATCACACAAATTGGCACTAAATTTGAGGAAAAACTCAAAATCGACGATAAACCACCAGTAGATTGTGCAACAACTATCATTTTTTATGATAACAATTTAACTGTTGAGTTCAAAACTCACAATCGACCTTTGTTTGTTAGTGCGTATGTCCGAGAACAAAAGATGAATCGGATACTCATTGATGGGGGATCTGCTATCAATATTATGTCCGTACGTGCTATGAAAGAACTAGAAATCTCAAGCGATGAACTCTCGCAGAGCTGCCACATGATCCATGGATTTAACCAAGGGGGGCAAAAAGCAATTGGTCTCATAAGGCTTGAATTGCTCATTGGTGAGTTGTCTTCAAGTGCATTATTTCATATCATTGAAGCCAAAACCTCTTATAATATGCTCTTGGGACGACCCTGGATTCACGAGAATGAAATTATATCGTCTACTCTGCATCAATGTTTCAAATATTGTCGAGACGGCATAGTTAAGAAGGTTGTTGCCGATAATAAACCTTTCACTGAGGCCGAGGCTCACTTTGCCGGCGCCAAATTTTACCTTCAGAAAGAAGCAAAAAGAAAAGAATCAGTAAAGGAAGAAAGTCAAGATTTCAAGGTACTCATTTTGCGGTATATTCCATGATCAAAGAAAGAAGAGGGCCAGTCTTCTTTTATCAGGAATGATACATTAAATGTTCCGTTCACCAAAATAGAGCCTGTTAAAAGTGAGAAAGCGAGCTTGCAAGGATATGTTCGTCCCAAAGAAGAACTGGCAGTAGAACATTACTCACTACCAACTAATTGGACTCAAGAAGGTTTTGATCCAAACGCATATAGACTTCTTGCTAAGGTCGGTTATAACCCAAATGAGAAGCATGCATTGGAAAAACTCCCTCCTGAGGTAACTGGCGAGAAGACTCATGGATTAACACCTGCGCAGAAAATGTTGAAGGAAAAAGGCTATAATATTGAATGTTCATCGATGGGTCTTCATTATCAACCGCCTTCTCCAGTGCGTATAATGATCAAAAGGGCAAGTTGTAACTATGTGAATGAAGAAATGGAGATCACAAGGCGCAAGAGATCTGTGTTCGATAGGTTGGGAAATAATTCAAGGCATACTTCTGTGTTTGACAGACTTGGCCCGCAGCCAAAATATTTGAAACCGACCGTCTATGAAAGATTAGGCAGAAAAAAGCAACAGTACCAAGTTGTCAAGAAAGAAAATTTTACTCCAATAAAGAAGAATGGTACGAGGAAACGAGTTTCCAATTTCTTTATGCATTATGGAGACTTGCTTAACGTAAGGATCGAAACCATCTTTGAAGAACATGGTCAAGAAAGTATTGCTTCTTGCCATCATATTACAATCAGTGATCCTGAAGAAGAAGAAGAAGATGCAGATGACGCTCCCGCTGAATTTGAACAAGAAGTAAAAAATACAGTCGATGCCCTAAAAGAGATTAATCTTGGCACAAGTGACGACCCTCGCCCAATTTACATAAGTTCTTGTATGACTCCTGAAGAAGAGAAAGAGTATGTTGATTTGCTACTCGAGTTCAAAGATGTCTTTGCCTGGAATTACTCAGAAATGCCCGGTTTGGATCCTAGAGTCGCTGTTCATAATTTATCTGTCCAGCGAGGAACAAAACCTATCAAGCAAACTCAAAGGCACTTTCGGCCTGAATTGATTCCTCTGATAGAAAATGAGATAAATAGACTGATTGAATCTGGATTCATACGAAATGTAAAATATCCAACATGGATTTCAAGCATTGTCCCTGTTAGGTAGAAGAATGGGCAAATCCGAATTTGTGTTGATTTTCGAGACTTAAATGAGGCTTGTCCCAAAGATGATTTTCCGCTCCCCATCACAGAATTGACGGTAGATGCTACGATCGGGCATAAAGCACTATATTTTCTCGACGGATCGTCTGGTTACAATCAAATACGTATGGCACCCGACGATGAGGAGTTCACTGCCTTCCGCACCCCCAAGGGAATTTATTGCTATAAAGTGATGTCGTTTGGCTTAAAGAACGCTAGAGCAACATATCAAAGAGCAATGCAAAGAATTTTTGATGATATGCTCCATAGAAATGTGGAGTGCTACGTTGATGACCTTGTGGTGAAATCAACGAAGCGAGAGAATCATATTCAAGACCTTCGAAGAGTTTTCCAACGCCTTCAGAGATACCAATTGAAAATGAATCCTTTGAAGTGCGCATTCGGAGTCGCTTCTGGCAAGTTTCTCGGTTTCATCGTTCATCAACGGGGAATAGAGGTCGATCGATTTAAAATTGATGCCATTGTGAACATGCTTGAACCGCGAAATATTCATGAATTGAAGAACTTTCAAGGGACGTTGGCATATATGCGGAGGTTTATCTCTAATTTAGCCGGACGATACCAACCCTTCAGTGGACTGATGAAGAAAGGGGTGCCCTTCGAGTGGGATGAATCGTGTACGAATGCTTTTACAAGTATTAAAATGTACCTCATGAATCCCCCAGTGTTGGCTGCACCCATCCCAGGAAAACCATTGATTATCTATATTTTCACTCAGGAACGGTCGGTTGGGGTCTTACTTGCTCAAGAAAATGATGAAAGTAAGGAGAATGCACTGTATTACTTGAGTCGGATGATGACACCTAATGAGTTGAATTATTCACCCATCGAGAAGTTGTGTTTGGCACTTATATTTGTCATTCAGAAGCTAAAACATTATTTTCAAGCACACACTATTCGACTCATATCTAAATCTAATCCCATTAAATATGTCATGGTAAAACTTATACTGTTTGATCGACTAGCGAGATGGTACCTCCAGTTCCAACAATTTGAAATTATTTATGTATCTGCGAAGGCTGTCAAATGACAAATATTGGCAGACTTCTTAGCCGATCATCCCATACCTACCGAGTGGGAGTTGACTAATGAGCTCCCCGATGAAGAAGTGTTTATGGTCGAATCCCCGTGGTAGATGTATTTCGATGGAGCTGCTCACCGTAATGGAGCTGGTGCGGGAGTTGTCTTTTATACTCCTGAAGCAGATATATTGTCATACTCTTTCACTTTAACACGCCGGTGTTCAAACAATGTGGCTGAATATCAGGTGTTGATTCTCGATCTTGAAACGGCTGTAGACATGAAATAGTTGCATCTTAGAGTCTATGGTGATTCAAAATTGGTGTTAAATCAACTTCTTGGTATTTATGATGTCAAGAAACCTGAATTGATCCCATATTATAAGTATGCAAGACAACTCATGGAATATTTAGATAATGTCACCATAGAATATATCCCTAGAAATTTCAACTAACAAGCTGACGCTTTGGCAAGGGTGGCATCTATGATCACTCTACCTTCTCTTCGAAATCAAATTTCAATATATCAAAATTGGGTCATACCTCCGATGTTTGATGAAAAAGATGATGGTAAGGAAGAAAATGCTTATCACATTTTCGTCCATGAGATCGAAAAGGAGGATTGGCGTCACCTCATCATTAATTACTTTAATCATGGAAAGTTATCAGAAGATCCTAAGAAAAGGGTTGATATACGTCGTCAAGCGCCACGTTTCATTTACTACAAAGGGATGCTTTACCGAAGATCATTCGATGGGGTGTTTCTACGATGTCTTGGAGAAGATGAAACCATGCAAGCAATGGAGGAGGCTCACTCTGGGATATGTGGTGCTCACCAGTCTGGCCCGAAATTACACTTTCGCATTAAAAGAATGGGATACTACTGGCCAACAACAGTGAAGGACTGCATTGACTTTGCTAGAAGATGTCAAGCTTGTCAATTCCATGGCAATTTCATCCATCAACCTCCTGAACCATTCCACCCAACTGTGGCTTCTTGGCCGTTCGATGCTTGGGGTTTGGATATAGTTGGACCACTTCCAAAGTCTTCTGACGGACACATTTTCATTTTGGCGGTGACAGATTACTTTTCAAAGTGGGCTGAAGCTGTTCCTCTAAGAGAGGCCAAAAAGGAGAATGTGATAGATTTCATTCGTTTGCACATCATTTATCGGTATGGAGTCTCGCGTTATATCATCACCGATAATGGTAAACCTTTTTGCAATGTAGCGATGAACAAGTTTTGCGAAAAGTTTCATTTCAAACAATACAATTCGTCCATGTACTACGCTGCCGCAAATGGACTCGGTGAAGCATTCAATAAGACCTTATGTAATCTGTTGAAGAAAATCGTAGATAAATCGAAAAGGGATTGGCATCTTTGAATTGGAGAAGCACTTTGGGCATACCGAACTACTTTTTGAACTCCCACGCAAGCGACCCCATACGCGCTTGTTTACGGTGTTGAAACTATTCTTCCACTTGAGTGTCAAATACCTTCGCTAAGAGTTGCGATTCAAGAAGGGCTCAGTGAAGAAGATAATGTTCGTCTTTGCCTTGAAGAGTTAGAAACTCAACAACGAGTTGAGTGCTATCAAGCCCGCCTTTCAAAAGCATTCAATAAGTATGTCCGGCCACGCTCTTTCCAGATGGGAGAGTTAGTACTTGCTGTTCGGAGACCGATCATTCTCACTCATGACGGACAAAGAAAGTTCACTCCTAAGTGGGATGGTCCATATGTTGTTCAAGAAGTGTATACAAATGGCTCGTACAAGTTGGTTGCTGAGAATGGATTAAGGGTTGGCCCCATCAATGGCAAGTACCTAAAAAGGTACTATGCGTAATCGGAACCGAGCAATGCTCCTGGCCCGCATGAGTTAAAACTGTGGATGGCAACCACCAATAGTGTAGTACGTGGTTAAATTGCTGAAACACTCCACCAAGTCTAAGGTGGTAAATAAATAGATACTCCTGGCCCGCATGAGATTAAAATGCGAACGGAAGGAATTACGTGTGACTTGATTCCCTCCGGGGATACGTAGGCAGTTTAGAGGGTAACTTCTAAGTTCAGTTACACCTCCTAAACCAAACCTTCTTTCCTTGCAAAAAAAAAAAAAGAGAGAGGAAGAACTTCTCTTTTTCTTTGAGATAAAATGCTAAATTTAAAAGTTTTTGTTCTCTTTAAAAAAACAAGAGATAAGAAATGAAAAGCATTTTATTATTCAAAAAAAAAACTCATTACATGGAAAAAAAATGATAAAAGAATTGAGGAAAAAGAAGGACATGGTAGAAAGTCTAAATATCAAATTTGTATTCCACTACAGCTACTTTATATGATTCAAGTGCAGATTTCATGTCTTCAAGTTCCTTCACAGCGTCATCAGTCAAGATGCTAGTACTTTCAATGGAAGACAGCTCATCATGCGCTTGGGTTATTTCGGCCTGGATCTCTTTGAAAGTCTCATGCTTTTGATCGATAATTGAGCTGATTTCCAAGCTTTGTTTCTCCAAACTGATGAGTTCCTGTTGCAGAACTTTCTTCCTGTCTTCAATGCACTGCAACTTTTCTTCGAGATTTTGTAAATGACAAATTAGTTCTTCTTCCTTTGCCTTAACTCTCTTGAGTTGGACGGTCGCTTTGGAAAAGAGCCCTGCATGTGTTTCTTTACTCATCCTTTCCCACGATGAAAATGCCAAAACATCATATGCCTCCGCCTTGGCAAACAATTCTATCAAGTGATCTTTTAAAGGGAGACCAGTGGTGGGATCCATTCTTGTGATTTCCGCAATGATTTCCTCTGCACACTCTTTTAAAGAAGAGATCTGCTCAATTGGAGTGTCAAGAATCTGTCCGCGAAAATTCATCCACAAACTCTACAAGCACTTTCTTCGATGTGCTTGATCAACTTTTGGCCATGAAATTCTGAAACCAGTACTACCTTAAGTCTTTTTCGGATTTCGTGTGAACTAGTCAGCTCCTTCTTATGCATTGACGAGGTATCTCCACTAGGGACAAATTGTTTTGGGGTACCGATAGCTATTTCAAGTTCGGGTGGTGAGTTGTTACCAGCACCTTCTTGATGGAATTCAAGGAACGGGGGCTGAAAAGGGAAAAATTTTTACAAAAAAAAATAAATAAAAATAAAAATGAAAAAAATAGAGAGATGATTACCTTAAGTGATGACACTCCAACCGATGGTGGTGTAAAGGAAACCTCCTCCAAATCAGAAGATGTCCTCTTCTTTGATCTGTTCCAGTGACAGTCTTGACTACTACTACCGCTCGCCAACGAATGGGCTTCTCTTTGGGTAGATCCGATGTTCCGAACTTGAGTCCCTTCCTTTTCTATAGCCTCGACAGAACCACGATCGACCACCGTTTCAATTTCGATATCTTCTTCTGTACGATTCACGGATAAGGATTTTGAAATTTTGGGCGGCGCCTTCTTTGTTGGAATCACTGGTTGCGCCTCTTTGATGGCCTGTCAAGAGTCTTTGGAAGACTTTTTTTTTGTGGCAATATTTTTCGAGGGACTACTAGTAATTTTGTTCTTTCGCAAGGTAGATGAGATAAGACCCGTTACAATCTCTATAGCTCCATTATGATGCACTGACTCGTTGGCAGAGGTAACCTTACCCTTCTTCGATGATTGCTGAGGGATTTTAACGGTGAATTTAAAGGAAGTTGAAGAGACACTATTTGACCGAATCGACCACCAGGCGTCATAGTCTTTTGTGATCAATGGATGCTTCCTGTGCGTGGGTATAGTCATCCGAGATCGTGTCTGCGTACGAACTGAGGAATCCCATACTTGAATAGCCTCATCCAAGGTATAAGTGTGAGTGATCTCTTTCAAGTTGTTGGGAGTGTCCTGACAGAAGTCGAATTGTCTGCTGAACCTGCAAGGATTATATTTTTCAATAAT